TGTGGTGGCCCACGCCTGCATCTCAGCACTGGAGAGGCTGAGACAGAAGGGTCACTACGAGTGTGAGCCACGTAGTGAGATCCTGTACCAAACACATTCATAAATAAAAGATTTTTTAATAAAATATTTTTTTAAAAACCCACTGAATTAATCCTAAGCGGACACTATTCGAGGGCATGCTTCCCGATCAGTAGCACACTAATTTTTTTTTTTGTTTTGGTTGTTGAAAGAAACAGTCCCAACCAAGCCTTACCACGAACAGCTACAACAGCAACACCAGCAGAAGCAGCAGGCGTTGGAGCCGCGACTCCCAGCTCCCGGCGCGGCCGCGCTGGCGCCCCCTGCAGCGTCCCGCGAGGCGGCGGCGGCGGCGGGCGTCTGCCTCTTGCGCATCTCCACGCTTTCGGGTCCCATCTGCGGTGGGAAAGGAGCAAGAGGGTGGGCGGATGCGGCGCTACAGAGACACCTGAGACACCGCGTCGGATGCTGTAAGAGGCGCGATTCCCTCCTCCTGGTCCCTCTGGACGAAACAAGGGGCAGCAGCTGCAGCTCTCAGTTTAATTCGCGTGCCCAGGGGGCCAGGGCACAGAGGGGCAGGGGCGCGCCTGGGATCCGCCGCGCTACCGGAGCCACCTGGAAAGGCGGGAGGAGCAGGCGGCCCCGCGAGGCTGAGTGTCTGAGGCCGGGCCTGCTACATTAAATCTTTACCGGCGGCAACGTGATGCGGAGGAACCAGTGCTGTACGAACAGCTCAGAGCACGGCCTGCTTCATAGCAATTGCTCGTTTATTCCCAGGAATCAGGCCCTGAGCCAGACTGCCGCCTGCCCAGAGCTGCCTCAGAGACTGTGTGTGTGTGTGTGTGTGTGTGTGTGTGTGTGTCTCCCCCCTCCCCCATCAAGCAGGGACAGACGCGATCCAGGGCCTTCAACGCCTGTCTTTTTTAATAGGGAAGGGTCTACAGGGTGTCCAGGGTCTAACTACTAGATTGGACTCATAGTGATTCTCCTGTTTACAGCCTCCCAAGAGCTGGGATTACAGGTGCCTGCCACCATGCCCAGTCTCAATTGCCATCCCAGTGTGCCCCCAGGGCGGGGCTGGCACGGCAGGCAGGGGAATGGAACCTCTGGTCCCTACACCTGCTTGCAGGCGCTTTAATCTGCTCAGCTATTTGCCCCCCCCCCTTTTTTTGGGTCTTTTTGAGGCAGGGCCTCACTATGTGGTTCAGGCTGGCCTTGAGCTCACTTTGCAGCCAAGGATGATCTCAAACTCAGAATGATCCTCCTGCCTAAGCCTACGGAGTGCTGGGATTACAGGCGTTGGCCACCACACCTGGTGGGACTCCTGTTTTAGTATCTTTGTTAACATCAGGTTGTTTTCTCCATCAGTACACAAAACACTGTTCCTTTAAGTCATAGGGTTAGTTTTCTTTGAAAAAGTTTTGAACATTTTTAAAAGGCTTACTCTTGAATATTTTGTAGGTGGATTTTGCTGCTGTCATAAATAACATTTCGGCTTTACTCCCACTCTGCTTTTGAAAAACAGGTACTTGGGAGGTCAGGAAGGTTCTAATACTATAGTTTATTATCCTAGAATTCCAGTGGTCTGCCTGCTGATCCACTTGCATTTTCTAGCTTCATAAATCAAAGTGCCCATAAATAATCACACTTGTCTCTGCTTCACGCTCCTTTCCACAACACCGGCATTTGTGCTCTTGGCCAGGAGAGTCAGTAAATAGCAAGAAGGACCCAACATTCCGCAAGGCTGAGTTCCAACCCAGCAACCTAGTGAAACCCTGTCTCAAAGGAAATAACAAAAGGAGGGCTGCGGTTGGGCACACAGGCCTGGGCTCTACCCAGCACTGCAGATCTAAACAAAGTAAGGCGAATACTGCTCAGCACCCTTGTCCTTGCGCCTCTCTTCAACCAGAAGATTTGTAACGCTTGTGCAGCGGCATGTGCTGGAGCGCGGCTGTCTGCTGGAGGCGTCTAGAAGACGGAAACGTCACAACCCCCACGTCTTCTTTGTCCACATGCCCGTTTCTTCACAGATACCTACAGCATCTTGGTAGTGTAGTGAGCAAGCTCTTGGGGAACATCATAAGGTTGCTCAAATACAAATTATTTTCTGTATTTTAGGGAAGGATCTACAGGGTGTTCAGGGTCTCACTACTAGATCAGACTTGTAGTGATCCACCTGTTTACAGCGTCCCAAGAGCTGGGATTACAGGCACACGCCACCAGGCCCAGTCTCAATTGTCATCTCAGTGTGCCCTAGGGGCAGGGCCGGCACAGCAGGCCTGGGGATTGAACCCCCAGCCCCTGTGCCTGCTTGCAGGCGCTTTAATCCACTGAGCTATTTGGCTGGCCCCATGCTGTCTTCTCTATACTTAGTATGAGAATTTCCTTAATAAAGCTTGAAAAGTGTTGAATTTGGGCTGGGTAGACAGCTTGGTGGTCTAAGCACTGGCCTGGCAAGCTCAAAGACCTGAGTTCGATTCCCGGTACTGCATGTTGCACTGGCCCTGAAACCCAGGTGTGCTGTGCCAGCCCCAGAAACTGAGCAAGGTGGCACACACCTGTAATCTAGTGCTAGGGAGGCTGAAAGGGAGATCACTAGGAGTGCGAGCTGTGTCGTGAGACCCTGTACCAAATACATACATACATACATAATAAACGGAAGATTTACTTTTTTTTTCAAATTTTAAATTTGTGTGTTTGGTACAGGGTCTCACTCTGCAGCTCAGAGGCAAGGCTGGCACAACATGTGGTGCCAAGGATCAAACTCAGTCCTTGGGCTTGCCAGGCTGGTGATTAGGCCACTGAGCTTTTTCTGTAGCCCCTTAAAAATGGTTTCTAAAAAGTGTTGAATTCTCTTCGTTTTTAAAAATCTACTAAGGGGGCCAGGGAGATGGCTCAGTAGGATAAGCGCTTGACTGGCAAATGCAAGGATCTGAGTTCAATCCCCGGTTCCCCCCCCTCAAAAAAAAATCTACTAAGAATGTGAATTTACCTCTTGGAATACTTTGTGAAGTGAATTGCACTAATGCATTTCTTCATGTGTAGTCACATTATTATTATTTTTATTTATTTATTTATTTTCAGAACCAGGGATTGAACTCAGGCCCTTGCACTTTCCAGGCAAGCACTTATTCTACTGAGCTATCTCCCCGGCTACATCATCATCATTATTATTATTATTATTTTGCTTTTTCCCTGGTGAAAAACAACTTTTACTGAGATCCTGCTGGCTGCAGAGCGCGTTCCTGATCTTAGGGGTATTCTTCCTGGACAACATGGCTGGTCCTAGGCGGTGCCAGGATTGCTTCCTGCTCCCGCATGACCTGGAGGTGGCGTGGCCCAGCCCGGCGCTTGAGCCAAGGAACGCATTGTGCTTCTGCGCAGCCTGCCCTGGCGATCGCCCCTCCTCGTTCCCACCACACAGTTTCGGCAAGGGGAAGCCACCTCAGCGTCGTGGGCCTGGCCACCCAGAGCTGACGCTCTTGTCTGACAAGGAGTTGTTTAGTTTACCTACCTAGCCATACGTGTGCTACTCATCATCTTCACAGGGAATTATTTTTGCTGGAATTTAGTAGAATGTGCCCACAAAATTAGCTCAACTGCCCGGCTGGCCTTGAGCTTGCAATCGTCCTCTCCCACTTCCCCAGGTGCTGGGATGTCAGGCGTGCAGCCCCACTCACTGCCAAAAGCAATTATTTGAAGGCCCTGAAAACTGACCTAGACACATGCAGGTGAGTTCACACGCAATAAATAGTCTGCACGAGGCCTTTAAGCCGGGGGCTGCTCGCAGCCCTACACACTCGGCTTGGTGGCTGAAAGCTTTCAGCAAGTGGGCATAACCAAAGGCAACCCTCCTCCTTCCGCCTAGCAGGGGGCTAATTTTACCCTGGGGGTGGGGTCGGACCAGCAGCGCCAGATCTCTGCCTGGCACAAGCCCGGAGAAGCTCTACGCTGGGCGCTCCTCCGCTGCTCCCGTAGGCTGAACATGTACCTGGCTGGTAAAGGACAAAGATTCCAGAGCCAGAGGAACCAGCTAAGCACGACCTCACCACAGCCACTCCACCCGAGGGGTGCAGCTGCAGGAGGCTCGGGCCAAGGGCTGGATCTAAGCAGTCCCATGGCCGCAGCACCAACGAGCGAAACAGCAAGCAGGTCACAGACAACAGAACTCGCCAGGGGAAAAGACAGGCGGAGTCCGCAGGCGTCCAGGTGCGCAGGCGTCCAGGTGCGCAGGCGTTCAGGTGCACAGGCGTCCAGGTGCGGATTTCCAGACTTCCCTCTCTCACAAGAAACCCCCCCAGCACCTGTTCCCTAGCAACAAGAACTCCGCAATGTGTGTGCGGTCCCTGCTGGAGAGGCCTACAAAGCCACACAGCACCCAAGATTCTGATAGAGAGGGGGGCACCCAGCCCTCTGGCAAGCACACACCCAGCACTCTGGAGAAGTGTGGCTACCAAGTAAGACCACGGAGAACAGCAGGGTGTTGAGCAGTGCTATGGCTGCACGGGGTTGGTCGGAAGTTGCATGCATTTACCAGCACTACCGGTAGGTTTGGGGCAAGCTAGAGCTGCTAAAAGAGGAAAGAAAGGAAGCCGGGACAGAAGGGATACCCCTTCGCCCCTCCGCGCGCACGGTGGAGGCGCTGATCCTTTCTGAGGACATCCCAGAAGGATGCAGCTCGGCTTGATGCAGATGGGCTGGTGGGGGTGGGAGGGGACCTTGGTCAGTGCTTGCTCGCGGGACTTAACACGTGGCCACCAAACTGCAGAGCGGTGAGATCTGCTGGAGACAGCGTCAAGGGGACAGGGAGAGCCGCTATTTTGAAGTGGCGTCAGGAGAGTAAATTTGTTGCCTGTGCACACACTGGAGTCCGGCTGGCCTAGTCACTGAGGTATCTAAAGAAATGTGAGGGGCCGGGGAGA